TTGTAGAGTAATGTCACCAATAGACATTTCGTCATACTCCTTAAAACATGCAATTTCGAACAATGGCACGAAATTGATTGCATCTTCAATATCTATAATCATGTGTTGTAGTTCTGAATCCCAAATTATTTCTGCTTCAATCTTGGGTAGATTATCATAAATTTTCTCTTGATGAATCATCTTGCTTTTTTCGTTACTAGGTTCATCTTCAATACCATCAAATAACTTTTCTTGTAAAACACCAATCTCTTTTGGACGGGCATCTCTTGCAACCAAATCATCCTTTTTAACAATCACAGAAATTCTTGACAGATCAATTTGAACATTATTTGACTTCTCTTCGCTTTCAATGGAATCTCTATCATAACAAAAATTGCATGTACCTTCTCTTATTTTCTCCTCTATTTCTGAATTTTGGCCTTCTTGATTTATTTCTGCCAGATCTGGTGTGTCTTCTTTTTCTTTTGGTTGATCATCCTTTTCTTGCGATGCCTGCTCCAATGTCTCATCTTTTTGTTGATTCATTGATATCTCGTATGTCACCAATTCACCTTTTAAATCATCAAGTCTGAGCATGTTAAGATCTTTGGTAGCCTCAAAAATAACTTTCTTGTTGTAAAATTTTAAACTTAGAGACTTCAATATTTTTTCAACAACTTTAACTTATTCCAATACTTCTCCCTTGGTCCTTAGACCATTGACTATTTCTTCAATTCTTGTAAAGAATTCTTTGATAGACTATGTTGGTCTCATACGAGCCAATTAAAATTGACTCCTAAACTCTTGCAGTTTCTCCTTCTTTATGTCAGCAACTTTTCGATATGACTTCACCAAGATTGTCCAAACCTCCTTTGATGACTTTGCATGCAAATAGTTTTTAGATACATGCAATTTGACCTTAATGGCGAGATAGCCTTATAATCTAAATGTCTTTTCTTCTCTAATTTCGTAGCTATATCACCAGCTAACGTTGTACCTTTCGGGGGTTCCTCAAATCCTTCACCAATGGTGGACCATAATCCAATAGCCTTAAAAAAAAATTCTTCATCTGTTGATACCAAATTTCGAAATTACTTTTGCCATCAAACACAAAAATGGGACAATTAGGTAATAGAGTATCCATATATTTTTTTTGGATCTCACATAGGCTCTGATCACAGAATCTCACACAAGCTCTGATTCCAATTTGAAGGATTGAAATACCCCAAGAATAATTTAGGCACAAGCAAAAAATTCAACAAAGATATATTAGAAGAAATTTATTAAACTAGGGAGAGAACGTGGTAGGAGACTTTTTCATAACTCAAAAACTCTTGAATCTCTGTACAAGAAAACAAGTAGTAGCACCCCTGTTTATAATACTATAAAACCAAAAACCTATTTCAATATAAAATTGATAAATAAAATCTAACTAGACATGAATTAAGTAACCTAGTAAATATTAAATCTTAAATAATTTAGGAATAATAATTTATCTTGGTTTAATTTCCAACTGTAACACATAGGGCTTTTCTAACCAAAATATCAAGTCGTATTCGGAAAGGTTGATTTTATATTAATAATCTGTTTTGTATTTACACATTAAAAAGAAGTAACTTGAAACCCTACGTTAATAAAAAGAGAAAAAGACAAAAGGATATACGTAATATCTAGGTACATTATTCAAAGCTGCAAAGCAAAGTGCTTGGTCAATTTATGAATACTTTGAAATTCATAGCTTTTCGTTTTTCTAACGTTCCATTCCCCAATGTCATACTCTTTGAAAGTTTACTCCGGAAGCGGACTCAGGATTAGAAGATCGCGGGTGCACTTTTGAATTCAATCAAATTTATTTTCTATTTAAAGTGTCATAAATAATTTATTATTATTTTCTAAAGACATATACATATATACATAAAAAAATTTACTGAACTTTACGGGCGCCGATTACCCCTCTCAATATATAGCACTAAGTTCGCCTCTGGTTTACGCAATGCCAATGTTTGCGATAAGTTGTCGGCATATACAAGTAAAAAATGTTATCATCACTAAGCATAAAGGAATATAAAATAATAATAATAATATCAAAGTCAAAGGTATATTATGGTAGAATATTACAATCATAATGAATACAGAAACGAGTTATCAACTAACAAATTCTTTGAACACAGTTAAAGGGCTTAAGGCAGTTATGAGTTTGATCTTGCATTTTTATGTTTTTGTATTTTCCAACTGTATAAACAATAGTAGTATGTTCTTATTTATATTTAAAAAAAAAAATATGCATCTATTATCACGTATGGAGGAACAAGTGGTGGGGGCGAGGACGAGATGGGTCTAAAGAAGGAAGTGACAAAGATCTTCAAGTTGCAATTCGATCCACACTTGCAAAGTAGGAGCCCATTTGTAAAGATAAGGGCACTAATGACTGCAGTGGAAATGTTGAATAACCACAGTGTCAAACAAGAAGAAAAATGAGAACTAAAAATGAATTATCTCATAAGCACACGAACATAATTTCACAGGAAATCCAAAAAGAGATGACAAGAAAATTCAAAGTATATATATATATATAAGAAAATTTACACTCCTCTAATTTAATTTTTTTGGCAGATCAAGATGTAGGAGTTCAATTTTGCATTTAGTTGGGTGGACAACAATGATACATTTGTGGCTGGGGATGGGGCAACCATTGTTGTCAAAGTTATGGAAATTTTGATCCTAGCAAATTCAAGCACACTTTCAATCCCAACATCCGTTCCTATCATGAACGGGTTGTTCAATGTGCTGATTATTGATGATCATTTCAATGTCTTTGATTCTTCCCTACATTTTCAAGTCACCTCAAGTTCCCTTATTCACTAAATCCTGTTATTGAAATATCATTGTTGACTATAGAACATGGATTCGGCCAATTAGACGTATGCTCTATTGGTGAATATAAACACTTTTACTTTTATAGGACTTGTAAGAGCTTTGCATGTCAGAAGAAAATATAAAGTATTTCTTGTACTTTTTACTTTATTTTTATGTTGTATAACATTAGCCCAGTGGCGGACTCAGGATTTTGTAAAAGCGAGTTTAATCTTAGAAATACATAATTTTAGTCGTAAAATAGTAGTTGTCAAGTGGGTTCAAATAAAATATTTATACAAAATTTACGCAGCTTTAATCCTAATTTATACATATACACAGTATTACCTCCGTTCCAGTTTATGTGAACATATTTCCTTTTTGGTCCGTTCCAAAAAGAATGAACTATTTCTAAATTTGGAAACAATTTTGCTTAAACTTACAATTCTGCCTTTAACGAGAAATTTTTATAACCACATAAATACTCTGGGGGGCCTTTTTGAATTGTTTAGGACCACAAATTTCAGAAGTCTCAATTTTTTTCTTAAACTCCGTGCCCAATCAAACAGGTTCACAAAAATTGGAACGGAGGGAGTATTATTTTTTGATGAAGAGTGTTCAGTTGAACCCGCTTTACACCACGTGCGTCCGCCACTGCATTAGCCTGAGATAAGTTTATATGAATAACATGATCAATGAGGATTTATATAGCCGACTCCAAATTATTTGGGACTGGGGCTTAGTTATTGTTGTTGTTGACGGAGTATATAAGCATTCGGTAGAGCAGTTTTTGTTTGTTGGATTAATTTGATACGCTTCACATGAATATTGGTCTAATGAAGTAAATGGCAAATATGTTGCAGCCACACACTGTAAATTTAAAGTTAAAGTCAGTAGCTTTTTATCTTATCATATGTTCCTTAATTAATTATATATGTTGTGTATATGAAGGTAACATCTATCCATTTGCAAGCGTAGTGTCATGTAATGGAGAGAGTGAGTTTGTAGCAGGGACGAAAGCTTCCGTTATGGTTCTTCCTAAAGATGCATTTGGGAATAATATCTCTTCAGCAAGCTAATTAGTGAAGGACTGAACTCTTATAATATTACATTGTAAGAGTCAACTTTCAAGACAAGAGTGGGTTGCTCCAGTGGTGAGATCCTCCACTTTTACTCAAGAGGTTGTGAGTTCGAGTCGCAAACTGTCTCTCTACCCCATGGTAGGTATACACTACTTAGGTTAGTTAATTATTAGCTAATCTTTTTTAAGAAAACTTTTATAAAAAAAAATATTTAATTAAAGGATAAGACTAATTTATTTTTTGAGATGAGAAAGTTTTTTAGTAATAATTCATATGATCATGCTATATAGATAATTCACATAACTAAAAGTATTATAATAGATAAAAATAAAGACAAAAACATAAACAATAATTTCAAAAAATAAATAAATAAAATATAAAGATATAATTTAAATTCTTATGTAGTAATTTTAATTAAAAAAATTAAAATTTCACGTTAAATACAAATGAGAAGGAGAATTTAATTTAATTGCTTATTGAAAATAATAACTATTATAAATATTAGTAAATCTATGACATATAATAAAAGAACTTCTCTGTTTAACTTTTTAAATTATTCAACATCATCCATTTTGGAAAATAATACAATAATATTCGTATTTTAGATAAACAATAAATGGAAAAAAATTAAAATGTTGTAGAGCAAAAACTAATGTATAAAGAGGAGAATAAGTATAATGTGATTCTATACACACTTTAAATTTATTTGATAAAATTAAGTAAATAAATAATACTTAAAAATATTATTGATAAATTTAAATAACAAAATAATTATGAGAAAGTTAAATAGGATAAAGTCAAGTTAAATTTCAAGAGTAATTCAAATTATATTTATTATATTACAGTAACGACTCGACCAGTCGTTTTGAGAGTTGTAGCCTCGTTCCCTTTTTTCTGCTCATTTTTTGTGCTTCACTGTTGTTTTATGACTTATTATCGGGTTAGTTGGTTGGGATCCAGAGAGAATTCAAAGTGAATTGAGACACTTAGTCTCTTAATTGAAAGCTTAAGTTGGAAAAGTCGATCGGATGTCGATTTATGTGTAAACGACCTCGAATTTGAATTTTGATGGTTCTGTTAGCTCCGTTGGGTATAAAGACTTTTATTTAAAATATAGTATTTAATGGTCATTACAACATGAGATTTGCCTAGGCCACATAGTGCCTATTCTATCTCTATCAAAAATAGAAATAGCAAAAGCGGGAGGATAATAATACAATATTAATTTATCAAAAGAGCCTAGGCTGCATCCATTCTTGGCTAATTTATCCGCTACTCTATTAGCTTCTCGGAATGCATGCTTTAAAAGTGGTGTTCCTGTCCCTGTCAATAGGAACCTGCAATCATCAATAATATTTTGATAAAGACAATTATCATTTGTTAGCATGTTGATGAGGTCCTGGCTGTCCGTTTCGATGATTAGTGTTGTTAGTCTTTTTTGGATGACTAGTTTTAACCCCTATAGGAGGGACATGATTTCATGTGGATGTTTGTGGTATGAGTGAACCCCATATTAAATTCTAGTAGCCAATTTCCATTGTTATCCCTAAATGTTCCTCCTCTACCTGGATTTCCCAGGCATGAGCCAACGATATTTAATTTGAAAACCCCCTCGATAGTGGGTTCCCATTTGATATGTATAGTTTTCTTTGGTATATTAGCAGGGGCACATTTGCCTATAAAATGAATTCCTAGGCACTACTTATTAAATGGCTAATGTTAGGATATGAGTTGCTTCCTTGAAAGATCCTTCAATTTCTGGTGGGCCAGATATACCAAAGAAGGAAAGGTAGAAAAACTGGCCAACTGATGTATTGGTTGAAGCCCATTTTTGATTTCAGTTGATATTTCAGCCAGTTGAAGATGATAAGCTCATTGTCTAGCCGTTGTGGATAGCTATGCTTTATGTGGCATTGCTCCCATATTACCTTTGAATAAGTGCATCTGAATAGGATATGCTCGGTGTCCTCTTTTTCCAATCCACAAATACTACACGTGTCAATAGGGCAGATATTGCGTTTTGACAAAAGAGTGGCAGTTGGGAATCTGTTTAGGACAAGAAGCCACATAAAATATTTTAATTTGTTAAGGATATTATGATAGCATCAAGGACAAGGATAGAGTTTTGGAATATCCAAGAAGGCCATTTACAAGATTTCAAGCTAAAGAATTGCAGACTAAGGTTGTTGTACTTCAATGGCAAATAAAGAAGCTTTTAATTATGGAGGACGAGATCAAGCCCAAAGGAGATGAATTGTACAACTTTTAGAATCATTTGGTGGCCCAAATTGAAGTCCAAGAGGAGGAAGATTGGGTCCCAAACTCGGCCCTTGAAATCCAGCAAAAGGGCACCGAGAAGAGTTCAAAATGAGCGAAAAAGAGGTCCAAAAGGTTTGTTTGAAAAGGAGTCCAATTGGAGTCCAAACCAATGGCCCCAATTTGTAGTTTTAAGGCCCAAATCTGCCCCAAAGGGATTTGGCCGGCCCCTATCTAATTTTAATGGCTTTTTTTTATTTCTTAGCAACCACCCTACCTAATTTTAATGACTTTTTGTATCCCTTAGCAGCCACCCTACCTAATTTTAATGACTTTTTGTATCCCTTAGCAGCCACCCTACCTAATTTTAAGAACTTTTACTCCTATAAATAAGGTGTTCTTCTCATTCATTGAGGCACTTCTTTATTGATTAAGAATATTATACTTTGGGAGTTATTTTGAACCTTTGTTACTTATACTTTGAGATTTATCTTTCAACCTTTATTAGTTCTTAGTTCAAGGTAGTAAGATAACTTCTTTATTGTAATATCATTGATTACTTTATGGTATTCTTAGAAGGCGATTAATATGAGTTATTAATTGTTATCAAAAGTTACTCGTAAATGGGTCAAGATTTGAATCTATTGTTTTAATTTATTTTTAAGTAAAGGCGTTTGATTTCGTCAATAAATCAAAACGTTGTTGCTTGGATCTTGTCAAGGCTATAGAACTTGCATTCTTAGAAGGTCTTGGAATTTTTTCTTTGAATTTTCCCGTATCCTTTATTTTCTGCACTTTAATTCTAGTTGTTCAATTCCTTATTGTTATTGCTTCCGTATTTACTTCTCATATTCTTACTCTAATTTGGATCCCCGACCTTGTTGTTATCATATTACATTTCCAAATCCAAGTGTAATCTAGATTATTATCCAAATCAATATTGTCTTGGTTTGACATAACATCATAGGTAGCCTTGATGAAGAAGGAGCTATGGCCAGGAGAATTCCAGGTGATTTTGTCCGTACTTAGTTGAAATTGCTTGATATAAGTACTATGAATTTTTTGATTGACATTTTTCGGGAGTTCGAAAGATAATTTTGATAGATTGAAGTGGTCATTGATATTACGTTCATGTTTAATTCTTCTTTATTAAAGGGCCCATGACTTAATTGTCTAAGGGTGCCCCCGTGACTAATCCATTGGCTATCCCAAAAGTTAATATTTGTGCCATTTCCTATTAGCCATTTGGTACCTTTCTCGCAAACCTTAAGCCCTTACAGATATTTTTTCATATATGGGATGTAGATGAACTAGGATTAATCATGATGTTTGTAGTGACTCTACTACCATACTCGTTGCGCATCACTTGAACCCATAGGACCTCCTTATTACTATAGTATCTCCATGCCATGCTAGCATTAAAGGTATCATTCTTCCAGCGGGTTTTATATAGGCCTAATCCCCCCTTGTTTTTTTGGCGTGATGACTTTATTCCAATTTAGGAGATGGCATTTCCTTTTCTCCTCCATACTACCCCATAAGAAGTTATGTTGGATAGAGTCGATCTTATTTAGGGAGGCTATAGGAAGGCTAAAAATTTGTATAGTGTGGTTGGGAATGGCCGCGAGAGAGTTTTAATGAGAGTGGTTCTTCCCGCTAGGTTTAGGAAATGAGTTTTCCAACCCTTAAGTGTGTTGAGTTGTTTAGAGTAGTAATCCATTATGCCGTAAAGCTTCTCTATTGTAGACATTTTATTACTATACATGTTTATTAGTAGTATTATTTTATGGGAAAGGGGCCAAATATACCCCTTTACTTTGGTATATTATTCATATTTACCCTCCATTATACTATCGGGATATATCTACCCTTACCGTTAATAATTTTTTTTAAAAATACCCATCATCTAACGGAATTCACCATATTAATAAAATAATCATTTTAAAAAAAACTCATTAACCCATAACCTGTTAAACCCATCATATAAAAATACGGAACCTAGATTTCTGAGACGTCTTAACACATTTTATTCATTTAGAGAGAGACGAGAATAATGATGGAAGTAGGATTAGTAAGAATTTATATTTTTGGTTCTTAGTTGTTCATGGTGGTGTTAGGATGTTATGCTATCACTTTTGGTTGTATTTTTTGTGGTTATAATATGGCATCCCTTTGTCTAATGCCATATTATACATACCAAGAATATGAATATATGATTGTCGGTATTTTTATGTCTTTCACGTCTTAAGTTCAACAAATGACTACGAAGGAGATGACTAATTTGTAAGGAAGAAGTGCAGTAAATAAAAAAGATTTAACGGGTTATTAATGGATTTTAAAAAAATAGGTTTTTTTTATAATTTGGTGGCTTCTCGCTAGGTGGGGGGTATTTTTAAAAAGTTTGGTTAACGGTTAGGATAGATGTGACCTTATAGTATAGCAGATGGTAAATATGAATAATATACTAAAGTAGAAGGGTATATTTGGCCTTGTCTCCTTATTTTATTACTTATATGGTCTTTTGTTTAAATATCTTAAATAGGAAAAGTACGGACTTTTAAGTTGACTTTTTTAGTTTTATCTCTTAAAGTAAATAAATAGGAATCATGAGTCCACTTGTTAAGTAATAAAGAAACTTATAAGTATGACTTTACATGTGAAATACAAAATAATTTTTTTTGTTTTCTCTATACTCCGCCATTCTTGCTGCTTATTCTTTCTTCTTCTGTTGATGTAGTATTTGATCAAAGGTAGACAAATAACATGATGCTCTCATGGAATACAATTTTATCTCCATATGTAGTTATTCTTAATGGAAAACGCTTCAAGAAAGATGAGATTTTTAAAAAAATCATATAAGAGAAAAGTGTAAGCTCCCAAAGCGTACCTGGAAATCTCTTTAAGAGTCCATGGCACGCTTAAGACGTTGGACTCCCACAAAAGGTGATTAAGAGTATCATGGATGCATGTAGGCTCAAATGGTGAACCGTGACACCACTTCGTTGGAAAAATTTACTAAATTTGTTAATGATAGATGATATGCTAAAAGCGAATAAGATATAAACAAAGTAAAGTGACATTGCTTGTCAAATCCAGTTCGTAATTCTACGGTTGCGCGTCTGATTCTCCTACTAAAGGTCGAAGGTTCAATAGGGACGGATCTACAGTAATATGTATGAGTTCCCGAAAAATCAGTAGCTTTTATCTTGACCATGTATTTGTATTAAAAAATCTATTGAATATATAACAATAATTATATGAGAACCTAGTTCCAAAATGTATTTCTGGTCCAATGGTAAATCCTGGAACCCATATGTGGCCCGCTTCCCTTCCTGTCAAGTTAGTACAAACAAATATTACTCCCTTTCTGTCAAGTTAGTACAACTTCCACATTAGTCTATTTTTTAAATAATAATAGATGACTAAAGTGAACCTTAAAAGAAACAACCATATCAAAAAGTCTCCAAAAGTTACTTTGTAAAAATACCCGAATCAAACATTGAAAAAAAAAGAGTTAGGGTTTCAAATATCTTGTTGCAACCACTGGTTCTTCGTTCTTCTTCTAATCTTCTTCAATCTTGACTTTTCTTTTGTTGCCTATCAAAGACAAGTTAGTGATCTATTGTAGTTTCTCTCCCTCCTTTATCTTTTTTTTTATAACTATTTTCCTCTTGTATTATATTATATGAAATAATATCTCTTAACTATTTTCCTCTTATATTCATCTGTAATATTTAATTTATGTCTTATGATTTGTAGGGCATTTTAGTGAGAGTCGATATGATCAAGAGATTTTTCAAGCCGCAAACCTCTTCAGGTTCTACTTCTAGTTCTCCTTCGCTAAGCTCTCCTTCATGTCTAGTGATTAAAGATAATGTCAATTCTTCCCAACCATTATACAAAGATATTATATTGGATCCGAATCTTCTTAAACCTAATTCTGGTGAAAGAAAACAAATTTTAGAATTTTTTTCCTAATCTACGTGACCGAGTGAGAAGACATTACATTCAAAAAGGGCCTTGTCGGCCTCGTAATTTTATTTTTTCAAAAATAAATTTTGGTGGAAAATTATGTTATTTTAATCCGGAATGGTTTAATACTTCATATTCTGGATGGTTAGAATAGACTATTAAAGAAGATGCAACATTTTGCTTATGTTGTTACTTGTTTAAAAATGAGATAGGAGGATATGGGGAAAAAGTAAGTGATTCTTTTATAAAAGACAGTTTTAGGGCTTGGAATAAAGGTATAGAGAGGCTTAACGCACATGTGGGTGAAGTGAATAGTGTTCATAATCGGTGTTTCAAGATGATGATAGATTTATCGAATCAAGCACAATCTATTTTAACACATTTTGATAAGCAATCCGAGAAAACCAAAAGTGTGTATCGGGTTCGCCCGAATGCCTCAATTGATGTTGCAAGGTATCTTTTGAAGAAGAAATGTCTTTTCGGGATCACGGTGAGCATAAAACTTCTACAAGAAAAGGCAACTTCTTGGATCTCTTAAAGTGTATGCAAATAAGAAGGATGATGTAAAGAAAGTTATGTTAGAAAATCCTCCAAAAAATGACATTATGATTTGTCCAAATATACAAAAAGACATTGTGAGTTCTTGTGCGAAAGAAACATTAAAATCAATTGTTGAAGACTTGAACGGGGATTACTTTGGGGTATTGGTTGATGAGTCTAAAGATATCTCTCATAAGGAAAAAATGGCCTTTGTTTTGTGTTATGTCAACAAAGAGGGTAAAGTTATTGAGCGATTCCTTAGCATTGTTCATGTTAAAGATACATCCACAAAGTCAATAAAAGAAGTAATTTATTATTTGCTTTTGGAACATTCATTAAGTAAATCTCAAATACGGGGACAAGGTTATGATGGATCTAGTTAACATGCAGGAAGAAATTAATAGTCTTAAAACTTTGATTATGAATGATACTCCTTCAGCATATTGCATACATTGTTTTGCTTATCAATTGCAGTTGACTCTTGTAGTTGTTGCAAAAAAATATTATGAGGCTGAACAATTTTTTGATATTCTTACAAATGTTTTAAATATTATTGAGGGTTCTTTTAAGCGTAGCGAGATGCTTCGAGATGATCAAGCAGAAAAATTAGAGGAACTACTAGTGCTTGATGAAGTTCATACAGGAAGCGGTTTAAATTAAGAACTTAGACTTCAAAGAGCAGGTGATACTCGATGGGGTTCTCATTTTAAGACAATGCGTAATTTTATTAGTTTATTCTCATCAATTGTTCATGTACTTGGAGTTCTTACAATTGAGGGTTCAAATTATCATGAGAGATCAATGGCAAAAAGTCTAGTGGATGCATAAGATCCTATTACTTTATGTATATGTTACATTTAATGTTGAAAGTATTGGCACTTACATATGATTTAAATATGGCTTTACAAAAAAAAGATCAAGATATTGTAAGTGCAATAAAGCTTGTTGGTTTCGCAGAAAGACAATTGCAAGATACGAGAGATTCTAGATGGAATTCTTTGATAGAAGACGTCTCTTTATTTTGTGTCAAGCATGGTATTGTGATCTCCGAAAGGGATATGAATTATGTTCGTGGAAAGTCAAAGCGTAAGAAATTAATTGTTACAAATTCTTATCATTTGCGTGTAGAAGTTTTCTAGGATATTATTGATTTGCAACTTTCTGAGCTTAACAATCGTTTCAATGAAGTGAATACTGATCTACTTCTTAGTATGGCTAGTTTGAGTCCAGATAATCCTTTTGCAAATTATGATAAATACAAGATTATGAAACTTTCTGCACACTATCCAAATGAGTTCACTGATTCTATGCTTGAGGATCTTAGTTTTGAGCTTGATATTTATATTGACTATATGCGAGAGGCAGACAATGAATTCTCTAACTTGAAAAAACTTGGAGATCTTTCAGAGATATTGGTTAAAATAAATTTGCACATGACTTGGAGACTTGCTTATTTGCTTGTGAAGTTAAGTTTGATATTGCATGTCGCTACTGTAATGGTAGAAAGAGCTTTTTCTTCGATGAAGTACGTTAAAAATGACTTGCGAAGCAGATTTGGTGATGAATTTTTTAATGATTGTTTAGTTTGTTATATAGAGGATGAAGTATTTGAAAGTGTACCTAATGATGCGGTCATTGATCGTTTTCAAAACATGACAAGTCGTCGAGTACAATTGTAATAATAATGTTTATATTCATATGTTGTCTTTAAGTGTTTAGTTATTTTCTAAATATATGTTATATATTGATACTCGTTCTTTAATTCGGTTATTGTAATATATTGACTTAAAATTGCAGTAGGAACCCATACACTTCAATTTCTAGATCCGCATCTAGGTTCAAGTCCACTTGCAAACAGGTTGAAATTTTCAAAAGATTCGAACCAACGACCTCCATTGTTAAATAATATGAACTAATTAATCAATTGGTCAAATTATTTGACGATGTGCAGTTTTGGGATGTATTAGCTTGGTGCTACACTATACGACTTCCTATCTCTCTCGTCATCTTTGTATGGGTCAAAATCTATCGTCGGGCATTTAGGACGATGTAGTAGAGAGGGATGAGTCAATCAAGGTCGATCAGGAAACGGCGAAGCTCGCGGTCATAATGGCAACAATGGTCGAAATCGAGCACCGTGGAAAGGACTGTAACGGCTAGTTTTTAGAATAGTATAATAGGGAGAATATTCTAAAGAATATTTTGGGGCATATGTACTATTCTGAATTTTTAGGGATATGTCCCATATAAAGAGGAGAAAAATAGGAGAAAGAGGCAGGTGATTTTTACTGGATAAGAACAGACTACTGAGAAATATTCTCTCATTTGTAAAAAATACGAAGATTATCTTTTTATCAAGATTTTTGTTCGTGTTGTTCCATATTTTCCCATCAGATCCGAGAAAAGTTTGAGCATTCTAAGATTTATGTGTCACTCATCATTGTCAGGAGGAACAATCATCTATTTTATTCATCATTAGGTACACTTCTTCTATTTACTTAAATGTCATTTATTGTCATTTATTGCTAGATATACCTCCATTATTATTCATTACTTTTGGAATATTTAATGTATGTTATTGTCAATCTCCCACTATATATGTTCCATATTATCCACGTGTTCTGAAATTATGTCTAGAGATATTATTATTAACTATGTTTAACCATTATTTCACAAACACTATAGTTTTTACCGAAAGTAATATTTTTTGGTCAAACAATTTGGCGCCGTATGTGGAAATTTCCTAGTTAAATGTCTTAGTTTCTTCTAGATCTATAATTAACACGGGTCACTAATGTAAAAAAAAAGGGCAAGAACAAGATCTCCTTTCTTTGCATGTACAAATCCAATATGGCAGGTAACAGAGAAGAAAAGACGAGGATAATAAGTGACCTCCCAACCAACCTCATGAACATCATCAACGAGAGCTGTGAAATAGCAGACGGAGACGCAACGCCCAACACCTCCCCTGGACGAGATAAAACACCCCCTCACTGCAGCATCATAAAATCTCTTGGTAAGGGAGCCTATACGTTCGTGGTGGAGGAGACACTCCCAACTATAAAAAAGCTCCTTGAGGCTTGGCTAACTGACACGCTAACCAGCGTCCTCCGTAAGCCTGTTCGGGACCCAGTTATAGAAAATGCAAGGGCTTGCGTTATACTACCGGCGGACGAACAACATGAACAAGCTCCTCCAACGACATGTATTACTCACAATGTCATTGATAGTATATGTGACAAATCTCTCGCAACCGTTCTGAAAAGGATAGAGGAAATGGAGAATGAGAACAAATGAGAGGACACCAAGAAATGGTCGATAAGATACCGGGCGCCCCCAAGCTCTTGCCGAAGAGGGATGCCGAGGGGTTCGTCGAGCAGTCGTATAGTGATGGCGCCGCCCCACATTCCATACCAAAAACTTTTAAAATGCTGCCCTATCTGAAAATATATGACGGTACGACCGGCCCCGAAGACCATGTAACTCACTGTGTCCCCACCGT